CCATGCAGGAGACCTGGGCGGAGTTAGCATTGGCCTGGCCTAATCCCTCGCCCCCTCCAAAGCGCAGGGTGGACATCTGGAGAGTAAACCAGAAAATAGAAGCTTATTCTCTTGCTCTCCTTGTAACTCTTCCTTTCAAATAAATAAAATAAGCAAACAGCAATAACAGCAACAACAAAGATATCACTTGGTACATCCACATCCCATATCAGAACACCTGTATTCAAGTCGCAGCTCACTTACAATTCCAGCTTCCTGCTAGCTTTATGCATCCTGGGAACCAGCAGATGCTGGCTCCAGTCCCTTTGTCCCTACTTTCCTATGTAAAGACTCAGATTGAGTTCTGGGCTCCTAGCTTCAGCCTGTCCTTCCTTGCCCCCAGTATTTATAGGCATTTGAGGCATGAACCAGCAGATGGAAGATGTCTCTCACTCAAATAAAAGGAAAATGTTTAAATTTTTAAGTAGACCATACTAGCCTCCGGGGTCTTGCAACATACTGCCTCTGTCTACCCCAGTCTTCCCCGGACTTCCCAGACAGCTGCTCCACAGGGGCTCAAAGCCACTGCAGTGGAGGGTACTCCACACTGCTCATTTCTCTTTCCTCAGTAATTGCATGCCCTTCCCCAAGGGATGCCCAGAGCTCTGACAGTTGTCATCAAGCCACAGTCTGTCAGAGGTATCACCTTCTCATGCACCCAGTCTTCCAAGAGCCAGAGCCATGCTGGCTGCTTTCTTGAGCTAGTTCTAGAAGGCCTCAGATCAGCTGACCACCATCCACCACCCTGGGCCCCTTCCTGCAAGCCCACAGTCCAGGCAGCAGTCCTCTCCTAAGGTGCTGGTCTCTCAGTCCTCTGTGTCCTGTGAAGAACTCTGTGATTCTCCTGCATTCGTCCTTCTGCCAACACCCACCCCTCACCTCTCCAACACCGAGCTGCCTGCCAGCTTCCTGGAGACAGCAAATTCCAAATTGAGAACGCATCTCCCATTCTCTCATCCTCAACCCCTCCCCAAACAGAAGCCTGCAGAAGCAAAGGTTCAACTCCACTTCTTCAAGGTCAGCATGCCTGCTTAGCTTCTCATACTAAGACATTTCAATTTCGGATGTGCAAACTTTCCCAAAAGCTTTGCCCCAGCTGAAATAAGGGGAGAAACCAAGTAAAAGAAAGACACAAAATCCAGGAGTAGTAGAAGACTCTCACAGGAGAACAGAGGGAATTCCCAGGATAACACTGAAGGAAATTCCAGCTCCACATGTGTGAGGCAGACATGGAGCCATCGTTGCAAGATGAGAGCTGGAAGATAGGGCTCTAAAGGGAGGCCCCCAGAAAGGGCAAAACACAACCAGAAAAATGCAGTGGAGTACTTTCTGAGAAGTCAGATCTCATGAGGAATGTACCACAGTGCTATTGAGTGATATGGGAAAATCTAGCTGTAGATACAAAAGGATGTATCCTCTGTATTGTTAACTCCAGGAAAAAACAAAAGTTGCATTAAAAAAGGTTTAGTCACAGCACATTAATAACTTATCTAAGAATAACATTTACAGGCTAATACTCCAAACATTAAAATTGGATTAAATGGAAGGTTAGTGATTTGAGTGAAAATGGGATATGGGGATTTTTTTTTTTTTTTTGAGGAAAGTAATCATTTGTCACAACAGAAATTAGCCATTGCTGTTTCACAGGAGTCAGGTTGGGATCACTTCTGGCGAGGTTTCTTTGGGGACCACCCCCCCAGCTGGACCACTGGACTCAGAACTCTAACCATAGGGAAAATCACAGGATCTGTGGTCTGACCTTGGAGTGCATTTGTCAGAATGTATCTTATTAGACTATAAGACTGTTCATTGTTTTTAGGGTACAAACTTGACTTTCAGGCTTTAATGTCTACTTAGGAGATATTAATTTAGCCACTTTGCCCTCAGATCCCTCTGGGAATCTGTATGTGAGTGCTTAAGTTAGCCCCGATTAAGGGCAGCCACTGCACTTATGGAGCTGCCAGGGAGGCAGCGCTAACACCAGTGGGGCCTAGCAAAGTACTGCTTACAGGCTTCGTGACCCCGTCTGGCCCAACAGACTGATTAGAAAAGAGGACCAAAAGTCTCACTACGGCAGGTCTCTCCTGGTCTGTACCTATCCCCAGCTCAGGCTCTCCTGGCCTGCAGTGGACACTCCTGGAGCCCCCATCTCTAGGTGGCAGCCTGGAGACATCACCTACAGACCCCAGAACCTCACTAGAATGGACCTTACCTTGTGCTCATGAGCACACCCCCACAGCCGTGAAGGTGGCAGGAATCAACCCCTGGCTTCACCATTCCCAGCTAAAGAAGGCCACATCGGAACTGGAAGAAAAATGGACTGTTGAACACATTGGAAATCCCATAAAGATAAGTCTCTCATTCTCTGTCATAATGCTTTTGCCATGTATGAGTGGGAGCTCCAGAATACAGATATTAAGAAAATAAAGGTAAATTATAAATTCTACCAACCAGATAGGATGTCCCTGGATGTGAGATTGAGTCAACAATTTGACTTGTGTTAGAACACCTGTGGGGAATGTGATGGGGTGCAGCCAGTTGATGGCTAGCACTCACTTGTCAAGTTAATTGTTAGTGTGGCAGTGCTAAAATAAGAGTTTCTGGGCCCTGCCATTTCTACCTCCTCTGGCGCCATTCAGTTTAATTGAACGTGCAAAATCGGCTCCAGTGGCTCCACACACCTGGCCACTCCTGCCTCCTATTGTGCTAGGTTAGGTTAATTAACTACAGAAAAACTTTGGGCTAGGGCAGCTCCCTTCCTGCCTCCTGCACTTAATTGAATGCATGGAAACTTTGTTATACATGGCTGTCAATCTGATTGGTGGCTGAAAGCTTACAGAGTGTAGCAGGAGCAGCTGTCACCAGGCTTAGGCAATAAAGATTCCTGCTAGCATCCTACACTTGATGTCTGGTGTGGTCTTTCTCTTGAAGTCCGCAACAGAAACAAACTTCAGTGTAATCTCTTTTACCTCTTCTTACCTTGTCACAGAACACCCTGAGGGCTGCGGGTTTGAATGGATAAGGCACCAAAACACTAAGTCACTATTCAATCGTCAGGCAGGTATTCAACACTAGGAATTTATATTCATCCACCAGGTAGCAGGTGTTAATGAAGGGCTCCTGGTACATCAGGCAAATTCAATCTGACCTCTGTTCAAAGCGGTTAGTTGCTAGGAGGGGCAGTCCTACTCAAAGCACTTGTTACCACACTCTACATGCCTCCTGCCCTCTGGCCAAAGAGGGTCTATGGTCTTCCTAGATTGCTGGCACTTTTCTTGTCCACAAGCTGCCCATTCTCCCTCCACCAGCATCCCAAAGCTTCAAGCTGTGCTGGCTATAATAGGTGCACCAGGCATGTCTGACAAACCCCATTCACTCAGGGTTCAAGAGATGCTGAGTCCCTCTCCTGCCCTTCTCTACCTCCAAGCCAGGCTCAATTGGACTGGGGCAGGGTGTTGATGCTTAAGGATCAGGTGAGCCCTAGGGAGCAGCACAGGGGCAAAGGTCAAGTCCATGAGCTTCTACTGGGTTGCAGCATGAGTCAGCTCAGGCCCTGCTGCTCTGTTCCACATCCCAGCAGGAGGGGGTATAGTAGGCAGGGGATTGCCCAGCTCCAGAAATTCAGAGGGAGAGGTGTGGACTGTGGCCATCCCAAGACTTAGAGCAGGCAGCTTTGAGCCCGAGCCTCTGGCCTGATCCTGGTGCCCTTCCACCAATGTGCTGTACATACAACCCCACGGGGAACCATATTCAAGTGCAGAACCCACCAATCGAGCTTATGGTGGGGCATGAGCTGTTGCCTTGCTGGCAAGCTTCCAGGAGCTGCATGTTGAGAGCAAGGTGGTACAACATTGATCTTGTTCCTCTAAACTCTGAGAACTGGACCAACATCACTGCTAAACTCCCAGTTTGCCCAGTGGCTCGGTAATGCAAGCACAGTACCCAGCATCGCGCTTGCTGGAGAAGGGAACCAGCACCCATGCTCCCTTCTCCATGGAAGCTAGGCACAATCTGAAACAGCAGGCACCCCTCCTGCCATTCTACCCTCCCACGAACGTGCGCACACAGAGCATGCCACATTCTTCTACCAGAGGATGGCACTTGGTGGGTCCCACTGTGTGCACAGCTACAGCGGACTCACTTTTCTAATCTCCCTTCTTGAACTTCTGGTGGCTCACAAATGGGGATCCCCCATGAAGTCACCCAGAATCCAAAGCTCACCCATTATCTCTCAAAATCATCCCCGCCTCGCCAAAGAACCAGCAAACACACACCAAGCCCAGAGAAAGGATTCTTTTCTTTTTAATTAAAAAATAATAACCCAGTAAGACCTGCGCTTTCCCTGGGTGGCGGTGGGGGATAATAAACGGACAAAAAGATCCCTCAGCTCTCCACTCAGTTAGGGAGCCCCTGGTGCTGTGGGTCTCAAGAGTCCTCCCCCAGTTGTCTTAGGTAGGACCCCACAGAGGGTAGCCAGGTGTGTGGAAGGGGCGTGGTCTCCGAGGAGGAAAGAGCACAGACAGGTCAATGGGGGTGGGGCACGCGGGAGGGCCGAGAAGGGAAGGCAGCGGGGAAGCGAGGAATCCAGGAGTCTGACCTCCAATGCTGGCGGACTTGAGAGGAGAGACTACGTAAGGTCACTACAGGAGGCGGCTTGCAAGCTATGGTCTGGCTCCCTGCCTCTTGGCACTAACCCAGAAATTCGGGGCTGGGGCTCCCTAGCCATGGCCCACCACCAGGGCAGGGAAACCCATGAACAAATACGCGGGCGTGCATAGACGCGCGGAAGTCTAGTGCCGAGGGGCCAACAGCTTTTCAGGGATGGGAACAGACCAGGGTTTAGTGGGTGGGCTCAGGCAAGACTGGGTACTCCTGTGAGCTCTGGGCTGGTGAGGGGAGGTGGCGACGGGAGTGTGGGCTGGCAGCGTCCAGTCCTGGCGGGGGGTGAGGGTCCCTGACAAAGGCTCACAAGTAGCGCTCCAGCCCCGGCGCCGCGAAGCCTGGCTGTCTCAGGTAAGCCTCCCCAGGACTGAGAGGGCCGAGTGCACCTGCCGGCCCGGCCAAGGCCAGGAGGGGCTCAGCGGGCAGCGGGCCCGGGCCGGGACGCGTCGGGGGCAGTCCCAGGCGGTCGGGCGCCTGCGAGTAGAGCGGCGGAGAGACCGCGGCACAGGGCGGGAAGGCGGCGGCGGCGTCGGGCGCGGCGCAGCAGGGCGGCTCCGGGACGCCGAGCGCCAGATCAGGCTGCAGGTTCACCAGGCTGTCCACGCTGAAAAGGCGCGCGGGCGGCGGAGAGCCCGGAGTGGCAGGTGGGGGCGGCACCGCCAGCAGCCCGGGGCCGGGTGCCGGCGCGTAGGGCGCATAAGGGAAGGGCAGCGGCGGCCCCGGCGGGGCGGGCACGGGCGGCGGCAGCTCGGCGCGCTTGAAGCGCTTGCGGCGCCGCAGGAAGCTGCCGTTGTCGAACATGTCGGCGGCCGCGGGGTCCAGCGTCCAGTAGTTGCCCTTGCCCGGGTTGCCCGGCTCGCGGGGCACCTTCACGAAGCAGTCGTTGAGTGTGAGGTTGTGGCGGATGCTGTTCTGCCACTTGCGCGGGCTGTCGCGGTAGAAGGCGAAGCGCTCGGTGATGAAACGGTAGATGGCGGCCAGCGTGAGGCGGCGGCCCGGGGCGTGCGCCAGCGCCATGGCGATGAGTGCGATGTACGAGTAAGGCGGCTTCCCGCGCTGCAGAGGCCGCCGCCTCCGTCGCCCCGGGCCTGCGGCGGGCTCGGGCTCCGCCTCCCCGCGGCCCGCAGCAGCCTCCTCGGGTTCCCTCCCCGGCTCGGCGCCGGCCAACGGTGACGGCGGCGGCCCCGACGGCGCGACCGACGGCAGCGCCGGGAACCCCGAGAAGGCGGCGGGCGAGTCCATGTCGTTGCGCCCAGTCATCGGGACGGGGCGGCCGCTGCCTGCGCGCCTGGGAGGACAAGAGGCCACCGACCTGCCTTATATGCACAACCATGCCCCTCCGCGCCCCTCACCCCGCCACCATCGCCGCCAGGGGAGCTCGGACCTTCCCTGCAGCCAGCGCCTCCCCTCAGCTTGGCCCCTCCCTCACGCTCTTCCCTTTGGGCCGGTTTTTTTTTTTTTTTTCCCAGACCCAGCCTCATCCTTGGTGCACGTCCAGTGGGTCAGGTCCTGGCCTTGGGCCCCGTTCTCCCCTCCCCTCCCCTCCCCCTCCTCCTTCCCTCGCCACCTTTCCCTCACCCCTCTCAGCTTTGGGTTAGCCCCAGGCACAGATCCACCCACTCAGCACATGCTCATAGCACCCTCCTGCCTTTCCTTTCCCCAGCCTTTGGTCCTGTTCAGTGCACCTTCGTCCAGCCCTTGGATCTCCAGCTGGACCCAAGAGGAGGCCATGTCAGTGTCCTGGCTACCGTGTTAGGAAGCCAGGGCCAGGTAATGGAGGAGAGGGGACAGAGAAGCAAAGGGGGCTGGCCTGGTCCCTGGCGAGGGTGTCTGGTGACTGGAGATCAGGGTTACCATGTCTTCTGTCTGCTACCTCCAGGCACCTGTCCCACCTGTCCCCTGGAAAATCCACAACTTAGGAGTCACTTTTTCAGCTGTCTCCCTCCCATTACAGAGACAGCCCTCCCTCCGTAGATAACTGCCACACACATACACCACTGCATTATCTTTGGAATGGCAAGCCGCAGCCATCAGGGACAGCCAGTAGAAAGGCCTCTGAGCACTGACTTCTGCAGCCTGGAGGTCTGCTTTGTGACCCAGACACTCACGGCTTCCATGGAGGCTGGGGGAATCTCAGCAGCTTTGATGAAAAACGGTCTAGGAAGTCTACTTACCCCCACCATCCGGGGCGTCAAACTCTCTTCTCCAAAGTCCCAGCTCACAGGGAAACTACAGGGTGAGCTTTGTCCAGGACTCAGCACGACGGGGGACTTGGACATGGAGTAGAGCCATGAGTGTAGGGAGGCCAGTGAAGGCCTTGGACATTGCACTGAAGGGCGCTCCCAAGTGCAGGGTCAGCATCTCAGAGCCAGGCCTCTTTAAAGGTAGGGCCCTGGTGCTTCTCTTTTGCACCACCCCTGCATGCCAGCAAAGCGTGTCTCAGCAGCCTGTGGCCTAGGCCTCCAAACTCCAAAGTGAAATTCTGGAGTTTGAGGACCCTCTGCTAGCACCACCTCCACTGATGACAGGACCCCCATTACTGTGCATCTGGTGTCTGATGAGCCATTTGTGCACAGTAGTTCACGTAGTCTGAGCACTCCTGCATGCAAGGGGTGTGATTATCTCCACGTTACAAATGAGAAAATGCCAGCACTGCAGGTCACACAGCTAAGCAGGAAGTGGAGTTGGGAGCAGAGGTGCCAGCCCTCTCCCAAGAACACTCCATTTCAAAGCCAAGACTTGAGAAATGCATGGCTTTAGAGTTCCTCCCTGTCTTTCCCAGCACCTTGGTGGCCAAAGTGGATTCTGGGGCTGTCTCCTGACCCTCTGCACATCATGCCCCAGGGGGGCCCTATGGACATGGCCACGTGGATCTCTCCAGGCATGGCAGACCCAGCTGTAGTAAATGAAGCACTTCTCTCCTGCCACCCAGGACACCGTCCAGCCCCAGCCTGCCCCAACCCCTTGAACATTCCGGAGCTCAGCAACTGGAGCTCCCCTTCTCTTCCTCTCCACTCTCTACACTCAGGCAATGGCCAATTCCTATGAAGTCCATCACTCCTTCCATCCCCTGGCCTCAGTTCAGCCCATATCACCCTCCAAGTCCTTCTGGTCAGAGTCCTTGGCTGGTGCTCAGGACAGCAAGGCACAGGGACGAGGCTCACTCTCTGGTTTAAAGGGGATAGCTACCAGCCTTGAGAGATTTTTTTTTTTTTTTAAGATTTATTTTATCTTTATTGGAAAGGCGGATATACAGAGAGGAGAGACAGGAAGATCTTCGTCCAAAGATTCACTACCCAGGCGGCCGCAACGGCTGGAGCTGAGCCAATCTGAAGCCAGGAGCCTCTTCCCGGTCTCCCACGCGGGTGCAGGGTCCCAAAGCTTTGGGCCATCCTCGACTGCTTTCCCCGGGCCACAGGCAGGGAGCTGGATGGGAAGTGGAGCTGCCGGGATTAGAACCGGCACCCATATGGGATCCTGGGCATGCAAGGCGAGGACCTTAACCACTGCGCTATCGTGCCGGACCCCAGCCTCGAGAGATTTGCAGGAGGTTATGAAAGCAGAGAAGGAGGATACAGGAGGTCTGTATCCTCCCCACCTTGCATTCTCCTGCCTACACCCAGGCGGCACCCAACACAAGATACCACACTCACACCAAGATGGCAAGACAAGCACTTGCAGCAGCAGTAGGGACCCTCACTCCCAGGACACAGTAACCGGGCCAGCTTCCTCACTGCCAGCCAAATAGAAGCAGTGATGCCTCCTCTGACCCTTGTTGGGGGATTCGAATGAGTTCAGGGTCAAAAGCATTGGCCCACCCTGGCACTTGGTGACAGGTGCATGATGGTCTTACTCCACAACTGCCAATTCCAGTACTGACAGCAAGGGACAGAGAGGCAGAACCAGGGCAGTGACTTCAGAGCCTGCCATGGCGTTTCAAACTCAGTGCAGCCTAATTCTCCAGCTAGATGAGGCGTGGCCTGAGAACCAATGGCGTCTCAGTCACTGCCTTTATCACCTTCCTTAGGAACGAAGACCCTCTGAAGCCTCAGCTGTAATCTCTGCCTCACCCCTGTAGAGTGTAAGGCAGTCAGAGAGAAAAGTGACTCTTGACACCTGCCAGTGCCACTGCACTTTTCTTGTATTTTTACTTTTCCAGGATATGATAAATTATGCTGAATTTGTGGTTGGCTGTGCTAGTCTTGGGAAGGGTGGGGGCAGGGAGCTGGGCCAAGGGGTGAGAACCCAGACTTTTCAAGTTCTTTGTGTCCGTCTGGGCCCCTCCGTTGGGCCTGCTTCCCGGAGTCAAGCAGGCCTGTGTCAGGGGGCGGCCCAAGGGCTAATCCGTGTTTTCAGCGTGGCTGGGCCCTCTTTTCACAGGCCCTGGGCCGGACGTGATGCGGCTGAGCATCCGGGCATAAGGTGGCCAGTGAAGGCTGCCCCTTTCTCATGGGCCTGGATTCCAGGCGGCCCAGCGTCTGAGTGGAGCCCCTGGGGCGGGAGGAGTACAGTGGCCGGGCTGGGCAGGCCTTTGTCTGACCACACTGGGTGGATATTCGGGCTGGCAGGAGGGATTAATGGCCAGGGATTGGCCCTGGGGCCGGCCTTCCCACTGCCCTTTGGAGGCCAAAGGCCCAGGTCAGGGCATACAGCATTGATGGCTCTCTAGATAGGAGTGGAAATTCCCACCCTTGTCCAAAGCTGTTAGCAGCAGCCCCCTGGAGCTTCTGCCCCCAGCCCTGGTTCTGCAGACACCCTGCTAGCCACGACTTGGCAGCAAGAACAGAGAGCAGTGTGTCCAGGACCAAGCCTGGAAGTCATCTCAGGTCTTTATTCTGAAATGCCCAGCCCCTTCAGGAGGGTCTAAGGATGGCTGGTAGCATGAGAGCCGAGTTAACCTGGTGGGGACCCCAGGCCTGACACCAGGACAGTCTGCAAACATTTAAAGTTTGAGGCCATCCCTTTTATTTACGCCGATGCCTATTTGAAGCCCACTATCATGGCTTATGGAATGAGCCCGGAGCCCAAAAGGAAATCTCAGAGACACCCTCCACACCACCTCCACCGCCTGGGATCCTGAGGGCTGCTGCGGGACATCCCCACTCCTGCCCACTCGAGGGATGCCCAGGGCTCTGCTCACAGCCCCCTTCCCCAGGAGCCTGCCACTGGCAGATCCCCCCTGGCTGGGAACCAGCCTCCCTTCCCCAGGCACCTCCCTCAGACCAGGCCTGGTCCCACCGGGCTGCTCCTGGACTAGAGATAGCAGCCCAGCTCTGCCCGCAGGACCCAACAGCTAGGGATCTGTGCCAGACTGGGAAAAGACACACAGGCCTGACTACAAGAACTCCAGGGAGGAACCCAGCAGGAGGAGGCTGCTCTCTGATTCTTCATTCCTCAAGCTCTTTCATTTAGCAAATCCTGAGGCTCCCAAGAAGGCCACCCTGGGTGCTAAGTCAGTGCTGAGTCATACTGTCATCCTTGCCTTCCCTGTGCCTGGGAGGAAGCAGCCAAGCAGACACCCCCGCCCAGGATCAGGTGGTCAGCCTAGGACACTGGCAGGATGGGATCACAGGCGCCCAGAAGGGGGACTCACTCAGCCTGGCCAAGTCAAAAGGTGTTAGGACAGAGAGCTTCAAACGGACAGGTGGGGAAGGTCCCAGGCTGGGCAGGGGACTCCGGTCTGTGCCCCATAGCACTCCTGTCCCTGTGCCTGCTCTATTATACTATCATTGTCCCTCTAGTCTGTCTGAATGTTCTGTGAGTTGAAGCCCTTTACCAAGTCTCACAGTTTTGGTCCCCGGCACTTATTGCAGTGTCCAGCACGGGTTGGTGATCACTAAGTGTGTATCAGCTGGCAGGCAGGATGGCTGAGCACCAGTGCCAGAAAACTCTGCCAAACATCAAGAGGCAGGGACACATTCTGGGACATGCATGACTTTCAATGCTGGCGGAGATTCCCATGAGCCAATATGTTTAACTGTCTCCAAACTCTGCCTGGCGTGCAGTGTGCTGTGTAACTAACCGGTGGCTACTGGTTTTGTTCTGATTCGGTGACCTCCCTGGCTAAGTGGCAGTGGACTGAGAAGGCAGGAGGACAGGACCCAGTTGCAGAGGACATAATTTGTCAGCCTGAAGGGCTTGGAGCTTTTGGGAGACACAGGAAAAACTTTTGAGCAGGGGAGGTGCATGGTGAGCCCTCCCATTCAGATCACTCTGTCCATAGCTCTCCACCAAGATATGGAAGAAGCCAGCGGTTGGGAGGACAGATGGGGAGCTGAGCCTGTGAAATGGGGTGCAACAAAGCTCATTTTCAGCCATTCCAGACCAGGATGCAGGGAACTTCTGACTGTCTGACTCAAATGGTAGCTTAAATGCTGACTTTCCAGATGGGTACTGTGGCACAG